TCCTAAATCACTTGGAGAAGAGCCAAGGAAGTATACTTTTAAGGACGAGGATAAGAAGGTTTTATTAGATTACAATATGCGACGTTTTTACTCAACTGTTACAGATGAAGATATAGGAAAATCTTTAAGACAAAGCAACAGTCATTTAATGACCAGTGATGCTAGGCATTTTGGTCACATTTTATTTTTTGGAAAAATTAATTTATCCCATGACAAATCAACAAAGAAATTTGAACAAGAACTACCCTCATATGAATTAATACAAAATGAATCACTTTCCATCAATGTTACTGTTGAAGATAGAGAGGATAATGATGCTACCGGAATGGAAGATTATCTTGAAAGATCAAGAAACAACTCCAACCCAACGGCTGAATCTTATGATAAGAATAATTTGCCTCTAAATAATTTGAGTTCTAAACCTAGAGAAAATGATGTTGGTGATGGGTCAGGTCAATGCTATACTACTATTAACCTTAAATCTCCATGGAATATTTATGATATTTTACTACGACTTTTTTTTTCTTTGCTAATAATTATTGGAGGATACTTAATTTTAAGCAGGTATATGGTAGGCGATCAAAAATATTATTATGCTGAAATGTCTTAATTCTGATGATGTTTGCATAGAAATGACAAATTGAAGAAAACAGTCATGTTTCTCCATAGAAATAAAATTTAAATGTTTAAGATAATTGTTTTTATATATTGATGTATCTTATTATAATATCCTTCAGCTCTCAGATATTTGTGGTAAATCTCATCAATATGCTTAAAACGATTGAATGAGTATCTGCAGTATTCTTTTTTATTTGGTTATATCTAATCAATTGTAACACTTTATTTCTTAATGTATCAGTTACTGATAAATATTTTGAAACATAGTTTAAAAAAATTTTTTATGCTTGATGCAATGGAACTACAACAGACAGACTTTCAAATTTTGAAAGATATTTTCCATGAATACATTTTGGGAATCAAAGAGATTAGAAATATGATGATACCAGCATTGGGAGTGATGACTTTGTCACGTTATCTTCAAGTTTTGGTTTCAAGATTGATTGAAAAGCTATCCACTTCCATCAAAACAGAAATTAATCTGACTTCATCACTTTTTATTTATTCAATAGTTTATATCTCCAGTATTCTTTTGGTTGAACTAAGCTCACTTTATTTGTGTAAAGCAGGACAAATTGGATATAGAGTTGCCAACAGAAATACATACCATTATTTTTTGGATCTTTCTCCAATATCATTTAGAACAATTGGAAAGGGCGAAATTCAAAATACCATAAATAGAAAATCCCAAGCAGTTCAGGATATTGTAGATGTAATTACCCTAATGATCATACCCATAGGCCTAACCGTTTTATTTGCCTCAATTCAGATTATTAATTCATTAGGAATATTTCCTTTAATGATCATTTTATTTTCTTTGATAATTTATATAATTGTGACCATTAAAATCACTATTTGGAGAAATAAAATGCGTAGAGACCTGAATAAGACTTCAGATATTTCTTCAAACTTGCTTGTTGATGGACTTAATAATTTTGAAACTATTTTTACAAATAATACAGATCAATATGAAATCGGTCGATATGAAAATGCACTCAAAATAACTCAACGACAGAATATTACCCTACATCGATCAATGTATCTTCTTAATATCTCCCAGGGGCTAATATGGGGTGTGCAGGCTATTTTAGTGATTGGTTTACTTTCATACGGGATTTTAGTTGAAAAGATGAATCCTAGCCAATTTAACTTCTTTCTATCGATTACAGCAACATTTCATGTTTCAATGTTTAATCTTGGGGGAGTTTATGGAAAATATAAGGCCGGAATGTTGAATATAAGGCAGACCAATCTACCACCAAGATTCAAAAGAAATGAAGGATTTCAAAGCATGTATAATTTCTACAACAAATTCACAGTCAAAAATATGAGATTTACATACCAAACGAAAGTAATTTTGGACAACGCCACCTTCGAAATTTTGAAAGGTGAAAAAGTGGCCGTTATTGGTCAAAATGGGGTAGGTAAGTCGACTTTGATAAAATCCCTAATAGGAATTAATGAATCTAAGGCAGAAATTTATTTTGATGATACAAATATAAACGAACTTACGGATCAGTCTTTGAAGTATATGACTTCATATGTTCCTCAATTGGCCATTTTATTTGATGAAAGTGTAATTTACAATATCAAATATGGAAACCCCAAAATTTTTGACGATCAAATATTTTCGCTGAGTAAGAAACTAGGACTCCATGAGTCACTAATCAAGCTAGAACATGGCTACAATACCCGGTGTGGAGAGAATGGATCTTCTTTAAGCGGAGGAGAGAAACAGAAGATCCTAATTTTACGTTCACTTCTTCGTGAAGCACCCATTCTTCTGATGGATGAGCCGACTGCTAGCTTGGATAAAAATTCAGAGTATCACATTTTAAAATGTATTCTATCCATGGAAGAAATGACAGTAATTACTATTGTTCATAACCTGCATTTATTGAGTATGTTTGATAAGATTTTACTGATAGAAAATCAAAAGGTGAAAGTTCTTTTACCCGATGATATTGATCAAAACAATATATTCAAAATTCATTAAATTTAATTTTATAGATTGCAAGGTTTTTTAAAAAATTATTATTAAAATATTTATTCGAGCGATATTTTTGGCAGAATATTCATGGCCATTAGTTCTTGGAACAATAGTTTACAAGCGTAGGGTATTTTCACTGTAACAGGATTGTTTTTATTACACATTGTACAGCAACCTTTAAAACAAATGATCCCACATTCTTTACAAACAAATGCTTCAAACACATCTGAAGATAACATTAAACGTTCGTTTAACAGATTGGAAGCTCCATATCCAATTAAGCAATCTCTCTCCATCTCCCCCAATCTTAGTCCCCCATCCTTTGATCTACCCTCTGTTGGTTGACGAGTCAGTACAGCTCTGGGTCCTCGTGCACGACAGTGCATTTTATCTGCTACCATATGTTTCAATCTTTGATAGAATATAGGACCATAGAAGATATACGCCTCAAAAGATTCCCCTGTTGTTCCACTCGTAAATACATCCTTGCCTGAAAAACTATATCCATGTGCAACAAGCTCTTTACATGTTTCTTCAACAGAATTCTTCTTAAATGCTGTAGCATCGGCAAATTTACCCCCTAAAACCCCAGCTTTTCCGGTGACTAGTTCCAATATCTTCCCTACTGTCATTCTAGATGGAAATCCATGTGGATTCATAATCATGTCTGGGGATAATCCCTGCTCACTAAATGGCATATCAGCCTGTGGAACAATTAACCCAACAACACCCTTTTGGCCATGTCTGCTGCTAAATTTATCTCCAAGCTCAGGTACACGGGTTTCTCTCGTAACAATTTTTATGATTGTTTCATCTTCTGATTTGGTAAGAAGAATTTTGTCAATATAAGCAGGGTGTCCTTTGTGGCGAATATGATATATGGATTTATCTGTTGGATTAACTTTACTTACCAGAATATCGCCTTCTATCACATATTTCCCTACATTCACAATTCCTCCATTTTCATCCAAATGTAAAGTTTCACATTGACCAGATGGATATTTTTTTAGAGGTATTTTATTAGTTCTGTATACTTCCACTCTGGCAAAACCTCTATCTACAGATCCTTGATTCAAAATCAATGCATCTTCTATATCATAACCACTATAGCTCATAACAGCTACCATTGCATTCAATCCAGAAGGTAGCTTAATATAGTTGTTGATTTCCAACGTCTTCGATGCTGCCATTGGTCGATGAGTGTAATTCAACTGAAGAATAACAGAATCGTATCTCTTTTTAACATTTGTGGAAATATGGCCAATAGCTTGTTTTCCCATAGCACACTGGTATGTATTTCTAGGACTCTGATTGTGGTGAGGAAATGGGACTAAGCCAGCAACATTTCCCAAAATTGTAAATTCAGATATCTCAAGATGGGTTGTAAATGCATCAATGTCCTCTGGGCGGAATGCTATCTTACAGTTGTTCTCTTCATTAACATCCAAATATTCAATCTTACCCTCCCTAATCAAATCAGAAAATGTTTTGTATTTTAAATTTTTAGAATTAAAATTAATTCCCAGACCATCAAGTAGATTAATCATTTCCTCATCAACAAATCTCTTTGCGAAATTGTCCATAACAGGCTTTTTAATTTTGCTGAAATCCATCTTTTTTAATTTTAATTCATCAATAATTATTACTGGTCTAGAGATACGTCCATTGTCAGCAGAAACAAACACACTTCGCTCGGTATCATTTATGAAAATGGATATAAATTGCTCTATCTCACCATTTCTTCGACTTCTTTTGAATAACTTTGAAAGAAGAGTGGGATTTCCTGTTATCCCAAACAATGATCCATTTATAAAAACCAGAAAGTTTCCATCTTGAAAAAACTCCTCTGTTAGGCAGAATTCTGTTCGAATTACTCCACTTCTCTCAAGTAATTCTTCCACAGGCCCAACTTCAGAATCAGTTGTTATCTCTGCCAAAAGAGCTAAGTTTTTTACTAATCCACAACTTTCACCTTCAGGGGTATCAGCTGGGCAAAACATACCCCATGAGCTTGTGTGTAAGGCCCTTGGACCACTAACTTTTCTCGTTTTTTCAAAATGACTATTGATTTTAGTCATCATTCCTAATGCACAAATATATGAATATCTTGTCAAAATATGGGTCACTCCAGCTCTTTCCATTCGAAACCTTTTCAAATTCCAATTACCAGAAGCAATTGCTCGATTAAGTGCAGATGTTACATTTGATGTCTGTAAATTGAAAAATGTAAGAGCATCGAATTCAGAGGTTCGAGTTCTCTTACTTAAAATCTTATCGATTGATCTTTTTAATTCAAAGTTGAATTTTTTAAATGTGTCCTCAAACAAAATACTTAAAAGTTGCCCCGCTAACTCAAATCTCTTATTTCCTAAGAAATCCTTATCGTCTGATTTTAATATTCCTGCTTTTGCCATGGCAAGACGTCTAACCATTAAACAAATATATATTCCTTTACTTCTCAAATTAATATCAAATTTTACATTTGGTAGAAGTTTCTCAGACAAAAGAGATCTAATTGTTTCCAATTTGTTATCATCAGGTTTGATTTTGATATATTTTGATAAATATAGCATTGCCTGCTCCTCTCTGTAAATACCCTTGGAAATAGGTTCTTCAAAACTCAAATGCAATATATGGAACAAATCCTTTCCGATCACTTCGGAAATCGATTTGTCACTACCAATACCTAGGGCTTTTGCCACAATAATTGCAGGGACTTCTTCCGTAAATATGGTACTTTGAACATAGAAGCAGTCATTTTTGTATATGACATTAGTTTTACTTTTATGTTCGATACTGGATGATGTTACTGAGGCGTAAATGCCATTCTTACCACTCTCCAAGATAATTCTATTTTTGCTGAGTTGCTCCTGAATCTGAATCACTCGTTCATTTCCCTTAATGATGAAGTATCCGCCATTGTCAATAAAACACTCCTGGGATAAATAATTTCGTTGAGATCTCGTATAATTACTCTCTATAACATCATTTGTCACTGTACTAAGTAAGCATCGGTTACTTCTAAGCATTATAGGTATTTTTCCCATACATAGATCTCTCTTCACGATTATCTGCCTATTTCTTGTATATTCTATGTCTACATAGATATTGGCTGAATAAGTTAGATCTCTGTTCCTGCATTCCTGGGGATATAGATTGTTTTCGACCATATTTTCTATTACTGATGGTACAGCTACTCTAATGTCCAAATATTTTAGATAGAAAGTATGATCAATGTCGGAATCTACAATATTATTGGCTATTATTATAGATTTCATTTCTACATCAATGAAATAGTTGAAAGAATCAACATGTTGGCGAACTAAGCTTTTTTCTTTAAAGAATAATTTTAGCAATTCAAAGTTCTGATTATTCGACACCATTTTCAAGGGTTGGAAAACGCCTGAAATTCAAATAATTGAGCGATGCATGTCATTCTTAATAGAGCAGGATTTGGTTTTTTTGGTGATTTTAATTGAAATTATAGCACTAATAGATAGACAATAACAAAAATTTGGTTAAAACGGATTAGTGGATGTAGATTATTGTCTTTGGAATAAACAAAACACCTTTAATTAATTTTCTTCTGGTACTAAAAATATCGATTATCACAAAACTTTTACCTTAACCAATAATATACTTGTCTCAAAAATTAATATTCAATGTGAATTATTATATGACACATTTGATAATCTTTCTAAGAATATACTCAGGTAAACTGTTGTCTCACTGGAATATGGCAAATATCTATCTGTTATTCTCATCGATCAACAAAAATTATCTTTGGTCTGTTGTTTGTTGTGTTTGTAAACAATTCTGAAACATTAACATAACCACGATAATGTTTTCAGCCCCATGTCTCAAATTACTACAAAGAGAAAATTTCATGACTTCTGGGCATTTGCTCTTTACATTATTTGTCTCTCAACATATGCAGCAATAAGTATCGGTTTTAAAAAACCAGAAATAGAACCATTTTCAATTCCCCAAGTTGCAATAGTGAATTTGGTTACACTACTCTCCATGAATATTATAGCATTAATAGGTTTCAGGTTTTTCACAAAATTTACAATATACTTCTCTTTGGCAATGACCCCAATCCTTCAAATAGTTTTTTTGGTATTATACCCCAATATTGCAGTATTCATTCTGACGATTTTATCATTTTTAGGGCTTTTGTATGTATTTTCAATTATTAAAAGAGATATTCATACCATTTGTGCTATCATTACAAGTGCGACCAAAATTCTTATTTCTTACATTTTCTCAACTTTAGCTATGTACTTTAGTTTGTTCTCTATCTGTGGATTGATAGTGGGACTGATTTCAATCTCTGATTCCAAAGAAACTAAAACCATTGGTGTCTTTGCTTTATTCTTAACTTTGTGGACTTTTGGAATATTTTCATATCTATTTGATGTGTTTGCAGCAGGAATAGTATACGGACATGTGATTTCACGAGTTAGTGAAATTAGCAATCAACGCACTAACATCAGGGGGGAGCCTTCTGACAATCATTCAGTCTCATTTATAGCAACTAAAAATACTCTTTTTTCACTTGGATCGGTTTGCCTTGGAGCCTTATTGGTTGCAATTATCCAAACCTTAAGATTTCTTAATGCTCAACAATATCAAAGAACTAGTAGGCAAAGAAATGGTATCTCATACATCTTTATATTTATGCTCTACATTATCACAAGTATATTTTTAGTTCTTTTGGAAACAATTGTAGAATGCTTCAATAGATTTGCTTTTCCATATTTGGCTGTAAAAGGTACATCTTATAAGAATTCTATAATTCAATCACATGAATTCATAAGTTCTGCATCATATCCTATTTCCACATGGATAGCCATCGAATATGTTCTAAATATATTTAATTTATTTGGAATACTCATTCTAGGTATTTCTAATGTTGCATATATTCTCTCAGCAAACAAAGATGATCTTATTTTACCTGCTATTGTATATGGATTACTAAGTAGTGTGTTATTTTCAGCATTCATCAGAATTGTTTCCTCGGGATCCCTTGGTTTGATATATACTTTTATGACAGAACCAAATGCATTGGAGAAATACGACACAATATTATCCACTTCAATGAGTCAAAGATGTCCAGTGTCTATTGAATAAATATACATACAATGAAAATAAACAGTATCAATCTCACTTCATCAGTACAATTTACACAAGTATGTACTTCATTTACATAAAAATAATGTGGAACACTTTATTCATTAAAATAATGACTCCTCTGTGGATTTATCGTAGTTCTCTCTCTGAAGAGTTTTTTTAATTACACTTAAGATTGCTGTGTCCACATGTTGGGTAATAAATTTGGCTTTACTTTCCAAAATACGTAATAATTTGTCTGTTTTGGCTAAAGTATTTGAAAAGTTCTCATAAACATCCTTTTCCAAAGAATTTGCAGATGAAGGATTGTTTTTTGTACTAGCCACTTCATTCATTGCCTTTTGAGGGTTAGAATAATATGATATTAAAAGTTTATAAAATCAAGCTGCTGGGATTTCATTAAAACTTACAGAAAGAATTAGTTATTAGTTTGTTTATTAAATTATGTCTATGACATTCGACGACATTGCTTCATTTTCCGATGTATACTTGATCATACTCAAATAAGGAAGAACCATTCCCAATGGACTCTTAAGCTCTCCAATACATTTTTCAGAGAACCTGCAGAGGCCTGATTTGTCTGGTAAATTCAATGAACCAGTTTCATATGCATTTTTAGTCTCTGTAATAGCCTCGACAATTGCAGATTTAAGAAGATTTTTCGTAAGATTAGATCCCCTCCACATAACTCCCACAACTCTACCACATTTACCCTTTCTAATTATTTCTGTGGTTGCATTATTTCCTTTATCGAATATACAACCATACATATAGAAGTGGATACCTACAGAATCATTAAATTGCTGTACTAGACTATCGTAGGCTATTTTGGTCATATTTTTAACTGGATCCACCATTTCACAAGATGGATCATACTGTCCACTACTACTGACCATATCAATTTCCTGTGGATCTAATACTAAATTGATTTGTACTTTATATTTATACAAATCTTCATTAATTTCGTCGATCAGAGTGCCTAAATATGATTTGGTAGCAGTAACCACGGCCAATTCCCCATCCTGCCCAATTATTCCATTGACTACCGATTCATTGTTTGATTTAGTAGCAATCGATACAATTGCATCCTGGATTTCCTTCTGGATATGAGCATGGAAATTGATAATATATGTTTTCTTATCGTCTATGCAGCCTTCGCCAGAATCATCGAACATTGCAGATTGTAATAAGTATACAAGGCTAAGTAGGTTTATTTTACCAAATCGAGACATGCTACTAAGTAAGTTCTTAGAAAGATTCATTATGATACAACTGTGGTAATTTTTATTAGTTTTCAAATATGAAACGAATGTTTTAAGATGGCATTTTAATTAAACAGTTAGCAGAGTAATAGACCAATAAAAAAGAATACTTGAAACAAACAGCATAAAGTATAAAAATAAGCCAAATATGTGTTTATTCATAACGATAGTACATAATCTATAATATTTAAATATAATTAAAGTAAAAGTACAACAAATGGCCATATTATGCATATGAATCCACACTAGAATTACTTTAAACCAATTGCATAATATTACAACTGTCCATCTTCCTTAAGGTATTTACTATATTGTAGAGTACTAATCCATTCTTATCATCAGCTTCATTGATAAAGTCCCTCAAGATAATTCTAACCTTGCTCGGCTCACTATAAACCTTTCTTGGTATATTTTTGAGGTAGCAATAATAGGCTATTTCTTTATCCTTAACTTCATGAAAGAGATTACAGATTATTACATCACCGCTTACATGCTCGTTAAAATTGCAGTTCTTTGCTGCACCAATTCCATTTCCCCGACAAATCAACTCCAGGCTATTTATTGCTATACTATTCAGTGTTTCAAAATAAAATACGAAGTCAAAGCCACCATTTATTGAGTATTTGGTTATCCAACTTGGTACTTTGTTAAGACACGTATAAGAACCATCTGTTTGGGAATTACAACAATTAGAAACATCAGATGATATTTTATCCTCCCTAGGATATGTAATGACATTATCATTTGCAGAAACCATTGATTTATTTTCATTGTAGCATGTTTTAGAAGAGTAATTGCATTTTTTATTATCCAGCTGTTGTATATCATAAGAACATGCAATTCCTTTCTGAACATTGATCATTTGCACTATATTTTCACTTACTTGCTCCTCAGTTTTATTTTTGCATAAAAACATCAATTTGCTCTGTGGTCGAATATTTCTAATACTCTTTACTATTTTCTGTTGAAATCCAGTAAGAAAGCAGTCTGAACAATACGAAAGATTGTTGATTTTAATATTTGGAATATTGTTGCATTTTTTACACAGTAGCTTCATAGAAGGGATAAATTCAAATAAATAACTATTGGTATAATATTATAGGCCTTATTATTGAGTGGGATATTAAGTGGAGAATGTTACTGTGCTACTATTTATATTTTCAAAATTCGTTCAAAGCAATTTACCCTTCCTTAGCAAATGCATAACATTACACCATTTATAAACAAAGCTATTGTTTTTACTTTGAAGAATGCCGGGTTTACACATACCTCTTCACAATCTGTCGACTTGTTTGCTTGTGTTTATGAGGATAGACTGCTGTCAATTTGTAAAACACTGGCTTCGGCTACTTTGCAAGGAAATAGAACAAAAACTACGCTTTTTGATCTAATTCAACAAGAAGGAGAAATGAGACCAATGAATGTAATAAAATTATTGGCCAATAGCTCAGTTAACAGGCAGACAAGCCATGATATCGAAGAAATTAATAATATCTTGAGTAATGATCATTCAATAGAGCTTACTTTCGAAGAATTTACAGATACTTTTGAATGGATTAGTCCCCTAAGCAATAGAGTTGATAAATTCATTCAC